GAAGTCGAGCACGTGAGACGTTTGTTACAGAGCGACTGTTGAAATTAAGTGTATCGTAAAGTTGTATTCGGAAAGAATAAACCAGTTTTATTTAAGAAAGGACTTGTGTCGCTAAAGTTTCGTCGGAACGAATTTACGGAAAATTAACTAACGAACGGAGACGTAACAATAGCAACGATATATATTACGATAGTAGGATATTGTACAAACGAAAATGTTATCTGTTTAATTAACATAAAACTGTAATTAGTAATTCAAGAAAATTGTAACGAAACTACTTGTCCATCCACTGAAGTTATTGAAGTTCAATTTTCAAACCAAGACTCTCTTTATTCGAAGAGTAATTACCCGTTTCTGACTACCCCATAAATCGCAGTAAATTAACAGAATTAACGGTGATAATATGGGAGAGATAATGGACTATTAATTAATGAGATCTCATTATGACTTATCAAATACGTCAATACAGAAAGACTCAGACACATGACTGACCAGCTCACGTGTTGTCGCTTTATCTGCGAGGTATTTTTAGCCAGTTAAGAAATTCGTAAAGAATGCTAGGCAAATACATTCATAGCAAAAGCTGAGTTCGGTAGCTCCGCCTTTAGTAAAACAAAAACAACACTCTCGGTAACCTTCCAGTTAATTAGCTTGGTAATCAATTACCCTGAACAACTCACACCCAAAAGGCTGCACTAAATTACAACACATCCATTTACCAAATCAAAGAAAACATCATGCAATTGAAGTCACCAGAATTGGAGAGCGATAATTACTATTACACACTACATTAGAGCTTCCACAGTTAATTCGGCCATCATTTCTTAGTAGCATTGTCTGTAACCGAGACACCGTAAAGAATTAAGGTGAGTGTAAAGAAATACGTTGTTAACTTGGTAAACTTAAAGGAATACGTTGTGAACTTGATAAAAGTAACTTTCAAAGATATCAAAGACTGCAGCGCCTCTTCTAGTGATCTTATTTCCAGGAAGAAAAACGTTTTAGTAAACTGTTGAATTTTTGAAGATCTGTATTTAGTCTAGCTAATGGTCCATAAATAAAGGGGAAAATATACATATAAAATAATTTACATCAATAGTATTTATTTTGTTGGTTGTTTTTAACTCACTCACCTACGCTCAGTGATAAACTCGAGAACATATAACGCTAATACTAGGTATTCGATCATTACGGTGGTAGACAAAGCGCGGATAGTCCATTGTGCAGCTTTGCGTTTAAACAAAACAAAAGCAAACGTGTTTATAATTATTTATACTTCTCATAAGACATTATGTTAGACATTTTATAATTTTTAACACTAAATTCTTAATCTAGTCCCTTAGGGATTTTCAAGAATTAAAAGAATGCCATAACGTCTTGTGACAAGTATTATCATTTATAATCATTCTTCGCTAGATTCAAAATGTCGTGGGCCCGACATGGCCAGGTGGTTAGGACGCTCGACTCGCAATCTGTGGGTCGCGGGTTTGAATCCCCGTACCACCAAACATGCTCGCCCTTTCAGCCGTGGGGCGTTATAATGTGACGGTCAATCCCACTATTCGTTGGTAAAAGAGTAGCCCAAGAGTTGGCGGTGGGTGGTGACTTTTCTCTAGTCTTTACTGGTCAATTAGGGACATGTAGCTTTGCGCAAAATTCAAAACAAACAATTCTTAAAAATATTTTACTTAATTCGTTTTTAGCTGCAGTATCTTCATGGTGATCTAACATTAACTCTACACTTAAGCATAGAAAGCTTTTCTTGTATATTTTCATGCAAGTAGTTGGTTTGGCTAAGTAAGATATTTTTATAAGCTACGTTTTAATGTTGTAATTTGTAAGTTAGCTAGAGGGCGCACGGTGTTAAGATAAGCCTAAAATGCTTAGAAAGTTCTATGTTAATGTCATGTTCTTCTAGTAAATATGAAGCTAGATTATAGATATGGGATAGTTTATTTTCAAGACTGTGAGTTTTCAAGAAGATTGTAAAGTGTTAGCTATCGCGATAAGTTGACTTGATTTTTACCATAGTCCTAAACTGTTAGGCAGGTTTGAACGCCATTTGTAACGTAAGCCTTCAACAATTTACGACAGTGTACAAGTGTTGAAGCCTGTAAAAAGTTAAAGGAAAAATAAAGTAATTTGTTCTAGTTTAAGTAAACTGTACCTTGAATTAG